AAAAAAAAGAACAGAGAGATAATCATAAGCAAATTATAGTCTCTGATTATTCTATAGCAATTCAAATGATTTGCTTATGATTTTTGAAGTCTTATACTTTTTTAGTTTCATTCTTATTCATTGCTTTTCAGTGATTCGTTTTATGCAACATTATTATATCAGTATAACTACTAGTATTATTTTATCTCTTTATATTTGAGAATGCTAGTTCATGCTTTTAACAAAAAGAAACTGTTTTCTTATGATAAATTTCTCAACTGATATTTGCATCGATCATTTTTTGTTCAATTATTTGGGGCTTTCCATTTTGTTTTATTTCTATACATCTTTCGATGATGATTCATCTGGGAAAATTCTCGACAAGTTTTAAGAGTATCTTGTGTTTCATTTTATATTTGCAGACGACAGAAAAACTCTGAATCTCTCAATTTTTCTTCATGATCTTTATCCTATACTGATGGCGACAATCATTGTTGAACGAGATTTGTAATGGAGAGAGACAAATATGTAGTGATACAGCATTAAAAAGTCTTTCGCTACATCAAGTCAAGAATGTATGTTTTTCATTCCGTCTGAATTTGAGAATGAAGGTTTTCTTGAATGGCTTGCAATGTGTGAACATATTTTCTTTTATAAAACAATTCAAGCATGTTGCCGCTTTTTACGATTATCTTTATATATTCTCTGACGTTAAACATGATGTGAACAAAAAAAAAAGATTTTGATTTAAAACGTCTTTTTCGTCGGATGGGTAAGAGGGAGTGGGACCAAAGAAGATGATATAGCAAAATTACATCATGAGATTCACTGGCTTCCAGTGGAGATGAAAAATAATCGGCGTCAAAAAAAAAAGAAGTGTCAAAAGTACATGACAATGAGGCTCGTTGATGTTGTAGAACTTTCTTTTAAACTTAATAGTTGTTCGATGGCAAATCACGCCATCCAGATACACCTTGCGGAGGTTGTTGGTTGTACATTGGTTGAGACGATACAGGAGGATTGGTAACCTGATAATTTGCTCTTTGACTTGTTCTTGGATCATGACCTAAACGTAGGAATACTTGCAAATCGATATCAGTACTGCACGCTTACCTCTCGATTTCATCTCACGAGCCTCTTGACATAATGCACATGGACCACAGCACAATGTTGCCGGAATATCGCCACACGTCGGATCTTCTCGTAGATTATATATACTTCGCAATTTTCCTCGTTTGAAATAGTGCGGTAACCAACACAGATAGCAACCTTCCAACAACCAGTACACACAACAAAAAGCACAGCAGTCACTATCATCTAGCTTTTCAGCATTTGAACCGAATAGACATGGGGTACACCAACATCCATAGCAACATGTACCCCAATCATCGAAACAGCCAAATAATCTTTCTAGAATTCAAATATAAAATAGATCATTGCATTTATGATTACACTTCAACACATGACAAAACATATTTACCGGTCCAATCGTTGCCGTCTGACATTTTTTATGCAATTCAAAGAGCGAAATTTTATCTAGAATTTAAAAAAAAAGTCCTTCATTTACTTTTTCTCGGGAAAATATATTTAATAGAAACTATCGATCGTTGGTCGTAATATTGATCTTACTCAGTCTCAAGGTCGTCGAACGAATGCATACAAGCAGTAAAAAAAAGCGACAGATCGGCATTGACACTTATATTGTTGTGTCTCTTGCTTTCGCATGAATCAGTGTTCTTTTTCATAATAATGACCTGTTAACTGCTTCTTAACATCGATTTATACTTTTTCACTTATACAAAAAATCCAAATAAATGCTACATAGAATAAACACATCCTGTAATAACAGCGTGTGACAACACCATTTGGATTGGAAGCAATTGCGTATGTGTGTGAAACAGTATTGGAGCAAACGAAAAGGATCATGAAGAAAGGAAAAATATCACCACCAAGCATTCGCTTTTCGCATGTATCAATGTTTTTTTTTCTTAATCATGACTTGCTTGCTGTTTTCTAACATCGATTTACATTTTTTGCTCATGCAAATAACCAAAGTAAATACGACGTAAAATAAACACATCCTACAGCTATAGTCTAATGGCAACACCGTTTTAATTGAAAGTACTTACCTGTGTGTGAAACAGGATTCGAGCAAGTAAAAAGATCACGAAGAAAAGAAAAAAAATCACCTATACAGTTTCACTCTCATGTAATATAGAATATTAGTTTGAAGGTGATAGATTAATGAAAGGACTCAAGGTACTTCATTTATGTAATGTTGAGTAATTGTGACATAAGGATTGTCAAGAGTAGCCATAGGCTTTTTTGTGAGACCCTGTCTTAATCGTTTCACTCTTAGTTAGATAACATATTTTGTACCTTGCACATACATGTCTATTTTTTTATTGGATGAATCAGTGTGTCAACATGAAAGTAATGATGAAATATAGTTATAGTAGTTGTTGATATAGCCTCTCGATTAAAATTAGTCAAACGAGAACTAGAAAATGTTTAAGAAAATTCATCTAGTTTTGACTCAAATCGAGATGAAATTGTAATGTCAACGTTCCATCTAAATTCATATCATTGTCTATTTGATTTCGAACCTACGTTTCGTAGAGTTCTTTGCCAAGTTGAATAAGTATTTTATTTATTTGATGATTGCACTAGTGCATCAAGTAGCCGAGTACTTGATTAATTGTAAGATTGCTGGGAGCAACAAAATCACCGAACTCTTCATTTAAATCGGTTAAATGGAATTTCTTTTATTTATTGTCAACTTCGGTGAAATCTCTACTTGTTCTTTTCAGCGATTTCTTGAATGTATTTTCTTGAAGTATTGTATCTATGTATTCGTCTTTTTCCTCTATCATTGCTTCTTTTTCGCCAATTTGAACTTTACAAATTATTTTAAAAGCTGAAATTTTTTTTTCCACGAGTGTAAAATATGTCATAAAACTAATGTGAAGTAACTGAAGTAGTTCTCGCTTGAGCAATAGGTACATTTTAACTTGGACAATTTGTTGTGCTGATTGCCATTGCTCTTTGTAGGATTTTTGATCTGCTAATGATGCAACAAGTACGAAATAGATCATAACCAATAATAGTCCAACTGTCTGATATCCGATATAATTATACTATGATGTACTGCATCCTAAGGTCATTCTCGCTCTCGAAATTATAGTAGACTGCAGATACATATGTCTCAATATCAGGACAGAACTAAATATGATTACAGCTTCTGACTGACAAAGCACTGAAAACTTATATCTCCTAAAGATCATAGAACTCTACCTGAAATTTATAAGAAATCCATACCCTTTGTGCTACTTAGTTAAACTATTTTGTCCACTGCGAGAGTTCGAAGACAATCACTGAGTATGGTATTGGTCGAACTACTAACACTGTTCAAAAACTACATTGTGACAAGAAGAAGTGTAAGATTTTAGTTTCCTACTCAGGTAATCATACCGATTATACTCTTCCACTCTAGTTGTTGTCACGAAATTCACAGATTCAAGGCCTTAGTCTTATATATGACCATCCCATAACTATAAAATATCGTCAATCTTGCTTGTGATTTTTAAAGATCTGTAGTTGAAGGTCCATTGTGGACCCATGATTTAATCTCATTGCAGTCGAAAGTATTGAAAAGTAGAATTTTTTCATCATTTACTTTTTCTGACGAATTTTAAGAGTCTAAACAAAATTTTTTGTTTGCTTTAACTGACAATGAGCTAAAGTATCCTATACATTTGCATAGTTCAAAATGAGCAGAGGTTTTTATTCTTCTTTATTTCTATTATTTCTACTAAAAACAATAGAAAAGACGAAAACGAAATTGGACAAAAAATTCAATCACGTTCAGCATATGTTGGTCGTCGCTGATCTCGAACACGTGATGCTTGTTCAAAGCCATGTGCGACACGTAAAAGTATTGGTTCCGACCAAGCCGTACCAGCTATCATCAGTCCATAGGGTTCACCATTCGATTGATCATAACCCAATGGAACAGTAATTAATGGATAGCCAGCTGCCGATGCCATAATAGTCAATGAACTTGAAACATTTGGTGTGATAAGAGCATCCAAACTATGTTTGGCTAAACTGAGAGTAAAAGAGATGATTAATGAAATAAAATCGACGAAGTTGACTTACGCAGCATCAATAGACAATTGTCCACCCAATCGTCGAGTTTTATTCAGAAGACTTGATTGATTCATATATAATGACTTAGTGAAATTATTGCTCAATTCAAATATATCTTGATTAGGAGCAAATAGAGGATGAAATTCTTCATTCGTGTGGTTAAGATTGAATTCAATTAGATCGTTTAAAGATCGTATCGTTGTATTGCTCAATTCCATCAAATAATTTGCAATGTCTTCGGGAAAAGTAATCAAGAAAAGGGAAAACAAATCATCAAACATTTGATGATCATTAATGTCTGTAAAATTCACTGAATCGATGATTTTCGCTCCATATGAACGCATCAAAGCAACTGCTTTATCCATAACATCTACTAATTCTGTCGTCATATTAATATCTACATCGAGGTTTTTTAACATTTTTTGCAACTTATATTTGCTATATGTTCCACTTACGCTGAATTACAATACCTAACCGGAGACCGCGTAATCCTTCGACACCACGCAAAAATTGTGAATAATTACCATGACGAATAGCACCTACTTGTTGTGTGGCTTCGTCACGTGAATCAACACCTTGCATAATTTCTATAATTTAAACGAAGATTCTTTTTCTCGAAATCATTTTTTTTTGTGAAAATATTTTACCTAGCATCAATGCTACGTCTTCGACCGTTCTACCCATCGGTCCAATCGAATCATGATAGCGTGAGATTGGAATAACACCTGAACGAGATGTTAACCCTACCGTTGGTTTGAGACCTACTATGTTTGCTACACTAGATGGCGATACAATACTACCGGCCGTTTCTGTACCAACGGCAGCTGCACACAAACCAGCACTAACAGCAACGGCCGAACCACTACTAGACCCTGAAGGATCGCCATTGGCTACATAAGCCGAACTATAGAACTATATGAAACAAACTGTGACTGATTCAGTGAGAAATTTACCTGGCTGGCCCACCGCGTGGTGACCATCCTTCTCTTGATTTATTCATTGATCTGAAATTGGACCATTCTGAAAGTGAAGTTTTGCCAAGTATAATAGCGCCTGCCTGTCTCAATCGATCAACAACATGAGCATCTCGAACAACGCGAGCTCCTATCAAAGCCAGACTACCAGCAGTAGTTTGCATCTTATCATTAGTTGCTACATTATCTTTGACCAAAATTGGAATTCCATGAAGAGAAGACCTTGGACCTGTACTTTGTCGCTGTTGATCTAGTGTATTGGCGATCATCAGTGCATCAGGATTAGTTTCTATGACAGCATAAAGTGGATGGGAGCCACGTCGATTAACTGCATCAATACGCATCAAATACCATCGAACAAGATCCGTCGATGAATAACGACAGTTTGATAAATCTCGAGCAAGAGAAGAAATACTGGCTGTTAGAAGATCTACGGGAGGAATATGTGAGTGAATCGAACATGAAACAGGACATTGAACGCTTGGCAATGAAGTTGGTAAGGTTGAAGGGACTAAAATTAACAAAAAGCAACTTTCTTGTTTTCATCATTCTTTTTGTTTTTTCTTCACTTGGTATTATATTTCTCTTGATGATGAATAATATGAGAAATGTAATGACAGCCACAATTAATACTAATACAATCCGTACTATGAGATAATATTTTTGCCACCATGTCTTTTTCTCGTCTGATACATTGTCATTAACATCTATGATCTCGACCGGCATTGAATATATAATGTGAATAATTTTTTGCAAATGAATAAAGGAATGTTACCCTTTTGTATAGTGTCATTTATGAAAAGTCAGTTTTTATCTTGATATGTCGACAATGTTGATTTCATCTATGACGATAAAAAAAACTTATTCTGTAAACAATAAACGAAACATTTTAATT